GCCGTCGGCCCCCGGCCTCACCACAGCCCCGCGCCCGGCTCGCAGCCCAGGGGTCGCGCACGCGCGTCACAGCCCCGGGCCTCGGTGGCCTCTCTAGGAACCTGGGAGGGCCAACGTCTCGGCTTCCTCCCGCTTCCAGCGCAGGGCTGGCCCGCCGCTGTCGGAGCCACCGGCTCCTGGCGACGCTCGCCACCTCCCGCGCCGGACGCCCGCCCTCCACCCTCCGATGACCAGTGGGGACCCCACCGCTCCACCAGCCTTGGCCTGTGTGCCCACCTCCCCCCAGTGCGTGTGCGGGGCAGCGCTGGGGCCTCCCTCCCCAAGGGCCCAGAACAGGCTCCCAAACTAGGCGTCGTTTAGGGACCACGAAGATCTAGCTGACCGCCCACCCGTCCTGGCAGGAAGGCGTTGTTAAGGGGTCACTCATTTCCCCCTGGGGCCCCTTCAGGAAGGGGAGCCAGATGCTAGTTTCCGCGATAGCCTCTTTCCCCAACAACACAACCACCAGGGGCAGGTTAGGGGGGGTACTTTTGGTTCCCAGCCACAGGCAATGAAACTTTACCTTCCCACACCTCCAGCAGCCTTCTGTTATGGGTGAGTTCTAACCAGCCTCACCTAGTGGGTGAACAGTGATGCTATTGGGCAATATGTGGAATCCTGGAGCAGGTTTGTGGCTGGATAAGCCACTTGAGGAAGAGTCAAAGCAACATCAGGAGACTGACCAGCCTCTAATGGCAGGAGATCGCTTGGCCTCTTTGAGAGCAAATGTCTTTTAAGAACAGCACCAGAAATGCTGGAGGGTGTGCAGCCCATGCCATTGCAAATGGGGGCTACAAGCTGCTGTACTAGGGCCAGGTAGCTGTTCTTGTTACCTTCTGGTATGTTTCCTTCCTAGTGTCCGGCCCTGGTATGTTGCTGGTTGATCTTTCAGTAGGAGGGATGCCCATCTGTGCCCTAAGGCTCCGTTCCACCCATCTTAACCACCCCAGGTTCCTTTCCAATGCCCCACTCACCAGGGATGGAAACAGAGAATGGAATCTGTCTCCAGAGCAATGGTGATGAGGTGGAAGAGAAACCAATGGCACATACAAACAGGGCAACTGAGAAGGGGTCAAAGGGCGACTTACAAGAGGTGTAAGGGTTAAGGAAATATGACATAGGGTGGTATAGAACTCCAGGGTTAGCTATAGCCACCCACAGGAAAGAGTTTTGAGTTTTATCAAATTTTAAACAAAATTTCCCATCACAAAAGAGCTTGAGCGGGTTCTCTATGTGTGTGACCTCAAGAGATTTCCTCCTCAAGAGCCCTGAGTCACTGAAGCCTTAATGGATCAACACGCCGCATCCAATGGCAATGTCAGGCAGTAGCTAGGGCCAGACAGTCAAGAGCCCCCTGTGAGGTTTCCAGTGTAGATGGTGACCTTGGTATCAGAAGGTCATTCATTAGCCTAAGTGGGAAAAGACTGGTCTAAGAAACCTCTAAACCTGTGAAAACTCTGCAGCAGGTCTTCTGATGTTTTTGTTTCCATCCTGTCTTGTGCAGAGACATGAGGGACATGTGTCAGTGGTCCAGACATTGGCCCAGAACACTTGGGATATTGTTCATCACTGAATAGCCCAGGAAACTGTTATTTTGGATCCTGTAAGGACCTACCTGCCGGGCTACAATGAGATACATAAAATACATAGTCAACTCCATTGGAAAGTGGCTTATCTTATCCTTTACCCTTCACCCATGGCCATTATACCCAGAAGTGGTGCCTCTGGGACCTGCTCAGTCATGTTAACAGCAGGAAGCTGTTTATATCCTGCTTCTGCGTGCAAATCATTCTTCAAGGTGAAGTCCACCTGGGTAACACCTGCCTCCCAGATACTAGACTAGATAACTCCATCTAGATTATGTTATCCTCATATCGTCCCACTTTTTATCGGCTCCTTGGCCACCAGAGTGTGACTGTCATTCTAGGGAAGATTAACGAGCCCTGTTCGATTTGGGTCAGTGGTTAGAGCGTCTGCCCTCGGACCAAAGCGTCGTGGGTTCAATTCCCGGACAAGGGCATGTACCTCAGGTGTAGGTTCCCCGCCCTGATCCAGGCGCCTACAGGAGGCAGCCAATTAATGTTTATCTCACCTCTCTCTATCTCTCTCCCCCCTTCCACTCTCTCTGAAAAGCAATGGAAAAAAATCCTGCGGTGAAGATAAAAAGAAAAAAAAATAAAGATTAACCACATCTTTGGGCCAAAATATCAGGTTTTTAGCCTATTTCCTCATTAGTGAAATGGCATGCCTGTTGCTCACTTCATTGCGACTCAGATTGGATGCAAATGCCCTGAGCATCAGGTACAGCAGCGATTTTCAACCTTTTTTATGAAAAAGACACACATAAATGAATAACTAAAATTCTGTGGGGCGCGCGCACGCATGCACACATACATTTGCCGATCTGACCATCAAATAGGTATAATTATGATTCATTTACACTGGACGGCTATTGTGTTGGCTGTTGTCATTTTTCTATTTGACATTCTAAGGGAAAAGAGGTCAGTGCCCCTCACTAGTCAGGTATTGAACGTTTTAAACATTCTTGCTGCACACTGGTTGAAAATTGCTGATGTATAGTATGATAACAACTGACTGAATGCACAGGCTATGCCAGGCCTTTTGCCATGTAGTGTCTGTATGTTACCCTTTCCAGCGTTCGTAGCCCCACGAGGCACACGCCGCGCTCTGCACTTTTTAGATGGTTGGTGTCAGACTCAGGTTGGGTATCTCTCCCAAGGCCACCAAGAGGAGAAAGGCAGAGCCAGGGTGCGGCTGGTCGCCCAGACCTTGAATGGTCTGAGAGCCGCAAATGCAGCCAGGAGGCCCTGCTCCGCTGCCGTGGCGGTGCCGGGGTTGGCCTGGGAACGAGAAGACCCAGCACCCAAGGCGCCACCCCCGTCCCAGGTGCGGGGGCGCACGAGCCCACCTTTTACGCCGAGACTTCCGGGTTCCTGGAGCGGCCGGAAGCGCGGCCTCTCTCACTTCCGGCTCAGCCATTGTTTTTTCGCTTCTGCCGCCCGGCACAGCGTCCGGCGTCAAGGCGTTGCCACAGCGGTCCTCCCAGTGAGCTGACCCGGGCAGGAAAAGAGGTGCTGCCCGGCCGGGTCGTTAGGCTGGCGCCGCGGCCGCCCAAAGCCCAAGTCGGCGACGCTGGCCCGCCCGCGCTTCCGCCCCGCAGCCGCGGCGCAGTCCCGTGAGGCTCTGAAGCAGCAAGAAGTAGAGTCTCCTCTTTGCCGCATTCCCCTGGCCAGCTGTGCCTGGCACGGAGCCGGACCCCTGCGGGCACAGCGACGAGCGGGGCAGACGTGGCCAGGTGAGCGGCGCCGCGGACGCCGGGGCCGGCGCGAAGCACAGCGCGGCGTTTCCCAGCCTGGCGCCGGGACACGAGCCGAAGCGGCAGAAGCGCGTCTGACGCTGTCGGAGTTGCAAACGTGGAGTGCGACCTGGACACGCAGAAATCCGGATGAGATGAGCCGCTGAGCATTCGGAACAGTAAAGGAAGTAGGAATGTATGGGACCTAAGAGTTCACGGGTTATGTTTAAGCCCATCTTTGCCTTCCTAAAGAAACTGAGACCTAGAGAGAAGTAGTTTACCCTGGGTACCCAGATGCGTGGCGAATTGGAAGCAGAGCACAGATGCCCTCGTTACCACTAAAATGCTGATTTCAAAGTTTTACCATATATAAACTGAATAAACGCCCCCCCCCCCTTCAGTATCTGCTAAATGAACCACATTCATTCGTTTACCAAACCTGTTTCTGTCTGCCATGTACACACATGTGCAAAGATGACTGGGAACCAGCCCTGCCCTCTGAGTCCACCCAGAAAGTTGGGGAGACAGCCCTATAAACCACAAACACAATGTGAGTAGTAATCTAGCAGAAGTTTGAATGAAAAAGGTACTGTGGTCTTACTGAGGCAATAACCACACTGAAGCCTGGAGAGATCAGGAAGGTTTCCCAGGGAAGGTAGGTTGAGGAGAAAAAGGTCTGGCATTTTATTTTTTTCGATACTCGCCTGAGGACATTATTTCATTGGTTTTAGAGAGAGAAACATCTATTGGTTGCCTCCCATAGGTGCTGTATGCACCCCCCACGGGGGATTGAACCCGGCAACCCAGGCATGTGCCCTGTCTGGAAGCCGAACCCTCCACCTCTCAGTCCCTGGGACAACCCCAACTGAGCCATGCTGTCCAGGGCAAAAAACGTCTGGCATTTCCTGACTCCATTGGGTTCCTTTCCTTTGGTGGCCACCCAGCAGTTTGGAGGATGTGAATGTTGAGTTGTATGTAAACTAGTTAAAGTACAGTGTTACAGTGATAGGGTCAGAGAAGGAGGCTGCCAGCTCCCTGTGTGAGGCAATCAGGACAGCCTTCAAGAGGAAATGGCATTTGGGTCTTGACAGATGGGTAGGAGTTTGTCAAAAGTAGAAAGGAAGAAGGAAAATCCAAACAGGGAAAGAGTACTCTAGTTATGTCTCTAGAGCTTTAGTCCCATACTTTACTGTGCAGCTCTATCTCAATAGAAAAGGGTAGAAGAGCCCAGCCAGTGTGGCTCAGTGGTTCTATGATCCAGGAGGTTGTGGTTTGATTCCCAGTCATGGCACATGCCCAGGTTGCAGGCTCAATCCCTAGTAGGGGGTGTGCAGAAGGCAGCCAGTCAATGACTCTCATCATTGATGTTTTTATCTCTCTCTTCCTTTCTCTGAAATTAATAAAGATGTATTTTTTTAAAAAGGGTAGAGAGTGTTGAGCATGCACTTCCAACATAGGTTTATTTGTAAGTTAAAGATATGTGCTATCTTTCACATTTAATGCACACTATAAAGCATGTGCTAAATAAGAGTTAAATAACAGCTTTGAATCATCTTGCATTTCCCACATTTGGAGATCATTGTTATCTTTCTAGCCTGGGTACCTAGGGAGAGTGGTAGGGGATGTGGCTGGAACAGAGGCCTAAGACCATGTTGTGAAGGGCTGTGAATGGTAGGCATAGATATTTAGGTTTTATCCTATAGGAAGCCACTGAAAGTCTAAGAAGGTAAGTCACTTGGAGAGATGCTTAGAGAGACTACCCTGGCTGTGCTCTTTCTATCTTTTTTTCTGGAGCTTAGCTTTTTAAATGTGGGAGGTCTGTCATCAACCTGGGGCTGAACACTCCAAGGACTCTGATTTCTCTCTTGATGTTTCTGTAGGTGACAGCCCCCTCACCCCACACCCGAACTCTGAAAAACAACTCCTGAGACCTGAATTACAAACCATCATTTCAATTGGACAAACTGCTGCTGGAACAAGCTTCTCTTCGGGGTCATAATGGCCACCCAAGGCAGGGGAACTTTAGGCCTCATCTCCAGGGCTGGTGTTCTCCAGAAGCAGGAGGGACGCCTGACCGGAAAGCAGGAGCCAGGGAGCCAGACCTGGGGGCAAGGCTGCAGCCTCCAAAAGAATCACCCTCCTGTTTGTGAAATTTTCCGGCTACACTTCAGGCAGTTATGTTACCATGAGATGTCTGGGCCGCAGGAGGCGCTGAGCAGGCTTCGGGAGCTCTGCCGCTGGTGGCTGATGCCAGAGGTGCACACCAAGGAGCAGATCCTGGAGCTGCTGGTGCTGGAGCAGTTCCTGAGCATCCTGCCCGGCGAGCTCCAGACCTGGGTACAACTGCATCACCCCGAGAGTGGTGAGGAAGCTGTGGCCGTGGTGGAGGATTTCCAGAGACACCTCAGTGGACCAGGAGAGGTGAGCAGTTGAGTCTAGAATGGCATCTAGAACCATTATCTGGTGCTTAGGTTAACCTGGGAATAGGCATTCTCCATTTCTTAGGCTTTAGGCTGCCTTGCCCTTAGGATTCGTGAGCCAGACCTGGATAAAGGGGAAAGATTTTTGTGCTCCAAGCCATGACCAAAAATGCAGATTGCAGCCAAACTGTGAATCACTTTGTGAAATAGTGCTTTGTGAGCCAGCTCTAGCCTGGAGATCCACACAGCACTCCTGGCAGGTAGAGGATCTACACATTGGTTAGAATGCAGGAGCATGGTGGACAGAAGTAAACCTCGGGTATGGGCCCACATTTGAGAACTTCTCTTTATTCCCTTCCTCAGACTTGTCAGAGTCAATTTCTCTCTCTTCCTGCCTTTTAGTTTCTTTATAAGAGGTGGCATTTCTGGCCTCATAAACATTTGTTCCTTTGTTCCTTTCCAAAGCCAACTGGGGTTTTTTTACCCCTTTAACTCAATTTTTACTATTTCCCTAGGTTCTCTCAAATTTAAAGCCAAGGTAATTCAAATTAAAGGAAAAATTGGGGAGTCAAAAATGTGGTAACATGGAGAAATCTGGTTTCTAGGACCACAGAGCTAACCAGCTCAGAGACCATGTGTATCAGTCAGGGTTCAGCCAAAGAAGAAAAACCAGTAGAAAATTATTTTTATATACATTTATATTTGTATTATTGCTAGACAGTAGCTTGTGTGATTATGGGAGCTAACAAGGCAAGTCTGAAATCTGTAGGGCAGGCCAACTGGAAGGTCTGGCTGAAACTCTCAGGCACAGGCTGAAGCTGCTGTCTCCAGGCAGAATTTCTTCATGGAACCATCAGCTCTGAATTTTAGGCCTTACTACTGATGAAATAAGGCCCATCAGGTTATGTAGGATGCTAAAGAAAACTGATTATGTACAAAATACATTCACAGCAATACCTAGATTGGTGCTAAATTGACACATCACACCGTGGATAAATCAGTTCCTCCTGATGAGTCTCAAATTGCTCCCTTGTAACTGAGTAGGGTGAATTAGGGTCCCCTCTATGTTTAATCCTTTGCAATTTACCAGGAAAAAACAGTAAATGAAATTTCCCAAGTACCCATCACATAATTTATTCAATGCTTTTAAAAACATGATTACATATGTATGCCTACAGAATCAATTCCAGCTGATTGGATTCCTAGGGCTAGCCCTTTTTCCAGGAGTACTAGACAGTGCCCGTTTGGCATTATCAAATCCATTGTCAACCAATATTTTCTTGTATAAACAAGTAAACATCACAGGTCTAGAAAGCAAGTAGGCCCAACCATGGGCAAAGACAAGTGACTGAAGAACTGTTAAGAGTGCCATTTACTGAGGAGGGTGGAAGAAAATTTTTCCTATTTCCTTCCTTCTTTTGCTTTAAGCAGAAGAGAATGCTCCCTCCATTCAAACTCAGTCTTTTTTTATACAGAGAGCCTCAGAAAAAGGTGATTGAGTCACAAACCCAACAGAGTGGCTAACAGTTCACAGTCAGGGCAGCTGAACACTCATGGCTCCAGCCTAGGAGTGGGGTCTTTGGACTCCATTTCTTACTCTGCCACTATTGTCAGCTTAAGTTTTTTGACCTGAAGAGATGAGAGCAGGGTTGTCTCTCCTAGCACTGGCTCATAAAATGTATTTATGGCTAAATGAATAAATAAGCTTTCTCATGGCAGTTTGCCAGGGGGAGATTAAGGTCTATCAGGGCAGATCAGAGTCAGCCTGCTTAGCAGGAGGGAACATGTGTGTGCTTCTCTTTAGGACTAGAAAGGGTTGTAGAGTAATTCCTGCTGGGCTGCAGAATCATGCAGCTTGCAAAATACTTTTATATCCTTTTATTTGAGCTCCTAGCAGTCTTACAAAATATGCAGATAATAACCATTATCTACATTTGACAAGTGATACAAGCACAGAGAGGTTAGTTGACTCATGTAGGATGACAAAGCTAGGAAGCATTCCCTTGGTCCCTGAGACTTAGCCAAAGTGTGGTTATTGCTGATTACCACCAAGTGTGGGAACCAGGATTTTCCAGCTCCCTAGGTTCTAAGCCCCTAGCTTTCCACTAGTGTGTTGCTGTGGAATGCCATCTTAGAATGAAAATTGGAATGGGGATTTCATGCCTGTGGGGAAAGGAAACCTGTGAGTCCTAGATTATGAACAGTAACTGGGCCAGGCTTTAATTGCTGGTGAATTACAAGGTTCTGTTGTCACAGTGCAGTTAAGTTCCATCTTCTGCCAGTACCCATAGCTGCTGTATTTAAGAGCTATAACTCCCATTTGTAAGACCTGTCCAGTGGAGACCCTGGGGACTACAGACCCTCAGGGAGCCTCCTGGTCCTACCACTATACTGGAGAGAGATACACTAAAGGAGCGAGTTCCCTCCCATCTCAGCAGATGTAACCCAATTGGGCAAGTCCAGCATGGTTTATTTTATTTATTTTATTTTATTTTGTTTTGTTTTATTTTATTTTATTTTATTATTATTTTATTTTATTATTTTATTTTATTTATTTTATTTAAGTTTTTTACTCTTTAACAGAAAACTTTATTAGTGTTGGTTTTTATAATGTCTAACATACGGGTATAACATGTCTATTGAACATACCATGATTATGGAAAGTCAGCATGGTTTATTGAAGGAGCGGTTATTTTCTCCTTCNTTAAGCAGAAGAGAATGCTCCCTCCATTCAAACTCAGTCTTTTTTTATACAGAGAGCCTCAGAAAAAGGTGATTGAGTCACAAACCCAACAGAGTGGCTAACAGTTCACAGTCAGGGCAGCTGAACACTCATGGCTCCAGCCTAGGAGTGGGGTCTTTGGACTCCATTTCTTACTCTGCCACTATTGTCAGCTTAAGTTTTTTGACCTGAAGAGATGAGAGCAGGGTTGTCTCTCCTAGCACTGGCTCATAAAATGTATTTATGGCTAAATGAATAAATAAGCTTTCTCATGGCAGTTTGCCAGGGGGAGATTAAGGTCTATCAGGGCAGATCAGAGTCAGCCTGCTTAGCAGGAGGGAACATGTGTGTGCTTCTCTTTAGGACTAGAAAGGGTTGTAGAGTAATTCCTGCTGGGCTGCAGAATCATGCAGCTTGCAAAATACTTTTATATCCTTTTATTTGAGCTCCTAGCAGTCTTACAAAATATGCAGATAATAACCATTATCTACATTTGACAAGTGATACAAGCACAGAGAGGTTAGTTGACTCATGTAGGATGACAAAGCTAGGAAGCATTCCCTTGGTCCCTGAGACTTAGCCAAAGTGTGGTTATTGCTGATTACCACCAAGTGTGGGAACCAGGATTTTCCAGCTCCCTAGGTTCTAAGCCCCTAGCTTTCCACTAGTGTGTTGCTGTGGAATGCCATCTTAGAATGAAAATTGGAATGGGGATTTCATGCCTGTGGGGAAAGGAAACCTGTGAGTCCTAGATTATGAACAGTAACTGGGCCAGGCTTTAATTGCTGGTGAATTACAAGGTTCTGTTGTCACAGTGCAGTTAAGTTCCATCTTCTGCCAGTACCCATAGCTGCTGTATTTAAGAGCTATAACTCCCATTTGTAAGACCTGTCCAGTGGAGACCCTGGGGACTACAGACCCTCAGGGAGCCTCCTGGTCCTACCACTATACTGGAGAGAGATACACTAAAGGAGCGAGTTCCCTCCCATCTCAGCAGATGTAACCCAATTGGGCAAGTCCGGCATGGTTTATTTTATTTATTTTATTTTATTTTGTTTTGTTTTATTTTATTTTATTTTATTATTATTTTATTTTATTATTTTATTTTATTTATTTTATTTAAGTTTTTTACTCTTTAACAGAAAACTTTATTAGTGTTGGTTTTTATAATGTCTAACATACGGGTATAACATGTCTATTGAACATACCATGATTATGGAAAGTCAGCATGGTTTATTGAAGGAGCGGTTATTTTCTCCTTCTGCTGTACTGTATACATGCCAGAGTGAGTGAGCTTATAAATGTGATTTATTTGGATAATGTTTTAGATTTTTTTGTTCCAAATGCTGGTAAAAATAGTAACCATGAGATTGTGAGGAGCTGGTTTGATGACAAGCAACAGTTAGAAATAAAAGATCTATGCTTTGAAATATTTTAAAGGTCTCTAAAGATTGGTGTTATTTGATCTTACTTGACTTTTTATATAAATCATTGAGGAGAGGTAGTACATATTGAAAACTGAGCCTGCAGATAACCCTAAAAACTTAAAGCAAAATATGGAGAAGAAGTCAGTTAGCAAATATTGTTAATTGAGCATCAATGTTGGGCTCAGCATTGTTCTAGAAGCTAGTGGTCAAGACAAAAAGCTTGTATTTTATTGGGGGAGAAATAGACAATGAAGGTATAAGTAGTATATGCTATAGGAAATTTAATCATGTAATTTGAGAGTGACTGTCCTTGCTTTGTCAGTGTGGTTAGGGATGGTTTCTCTGAAAAGGAGACACTTTTGCTGAGAGAATTAGAAAAGCTCTTTTGAGGTTTGTCAGCCACTGTTCTGGGATATTGCTTCAGCTGCCAGCCTCAGTAGCATTATTTGTACACATACAGATGTGTACGCCTATCATTTTTTATTTCCTTGGTACTTCTGGTTGGTCTCTTCTGTGGGCTCAGGACCTAGGAAGTGTACTGAATTGCTCTCCTGGTTTCTTTTTCTAGATGGTTCTTAAAGCAAATTTGTGTCTAAAGAACTGACACTGAGGGGAAGTGGTTATATAATCTGGTCTTCAAGCTTCTAACAGGAAAGTCAGCAGAAGGATGGCAAGTAGTAGATCCCCCCAGTAGGCTGTACTGGTGGGGCTTGAAGGATACTGTGGCTCTTCTTCTCCCTGGCTTTCTTTCTTGGAGTGCTTCTTAGGGGTTTTGGATTCAGTACCGTCAAGGATGCTCTTTTGAACTCAATTGTATTTTCCTGTCTCTAGGATTCAGCTCCAGCACAGGAACAGGAAATGCATTTGGAGGAGATGACAGCCTTGAGTGCAACAGAGGAATCTCCTCCTGCCTCACCTCTCAGTGATAATTCAGCCCCTGGAGCCCACCTGGAGCCTCTTCATGTCTCAGGGCCATACTGCCTCTCCAATGGGCACTCTGGTACTCGCATCTCTGGCTCTGGCCTCTAGTCCCGTCTCCTCTCTTCTGGAGTCACCTTTCCTTCATCTCCCCATATCCCACCCTATTGGAATCCCTCCTTGTCCTTCCCCCTGTCTTCCTTCCCTAGTGACTTTGTTCATTTCCTTTTGCTTATTCTTCAACCATTCATGTATTTAGCAAGTTTCAGTCAAGCACATGTCATGGGAAAGGCACTGTTGGCAACAGAGATACATGGTACACCTTGACTGCTTTCAAAGAGCCAGTCACCTGTTTGGCAGAGAGTCAGTCATAGTGTCAGAAGAGACAACTTCATAAGATACATGAGTGATATCTGTCCCCAGGCGTCTGATGCCATCACAGATGAGCAATGTGACATTGTTAATGGTGAGCTGGGTGGGTAGGGGATGCTTCATAGAGGAGGTAGCAGTGATTGGACAGTGAAAAATCAGGGAGAAATTTAAAAGATGGAGAAAGATGGTGGGCACTGAGTAAAGAGTATAAACAAAGACAGTAAGTGGTTAATCCTTGGACCCTATTGAGCTGGGGCCAGGGAGGACTGTATTTGAGGCTTGTACAGGGCCTTAGAGTTGAGGTCAGGATGATTTGGGGGGTCAGGGGATGATGTGTGTTAGGAACTATTTCAGGAAAATTACTCTGACACACCAGTATTATGGTTCGAATGAGTAGACCAGTGGCTGGGAGCATTATTAGAAGGCTAGTGTAGGAGAATAGATGAGAGGAGATTATTGCCTGAGTGAGGTTGAGTGGTGTGGAAAGTGATAGATGTGACAAGCATTGTGGAGGAAAAATCCATGGGGCAAGGGAGAGGAGGGGAAATTAGAGAGTTTTGGACAATGTCTGGAATCATGGAGACAACTTGAGAAGTCAGGAAAGGAAGATGGTAAGAACATACATTTGAGACTATGAAGTTAAGGTGTTGTCGGACAGCAAATGAAATGTCCAAATACCTGGAAGCTCATGAAAGTGTCTAAGAGAGAACTGAACTTAAGAGCATCATTAGACAGTGAGAGTCGGTGAGATCTCTGACAGGGAGAACAGGAAGCTCTGAGGCCTGAGTGCCTACAGTGTCCAATGAGAGAGCAGGGGAAGGAGGAGAAACCAGGGAATGGTGGTGGGGGGCAGAGATCTGAGGGGGAGATCAGGTGAGGCTGGTGCTAGGGAAGCCGTATGGAGAGGAAGTGGTCAGAAGTATAACTTCCTTATGAGAGGTGGAAGAGAGGGAGGGCTCAGAGACCAGTTTTCAGTTTCACCAGAGACCTTGTCCTGCGCCCTCCATGTAAAATTCACAGCACACTTAAGATAATGCCTGTGTGGATGAGGGATCAGAAACTGTGAGTGTGGAGCTGCCTGCTTTTCTCTTCAACCCACTCAATGGGATACAGACCTTATTGAAGCCAAGGACAGGGCTTCTCCACTCATAGATTTCTTCCCTCCCTCAGCTCAACGTGTTTCCCCAGTGCCTGCCCCTCCCCAAGTGGGGAACACAGGAGACCAAGCAGCAGCATCTGTGCTTCGGATGACTAGGCCCCAGGTGAGCTCATCTCCCGGGTGCTGGCCCATTCTGAGAATGCTCTTGTGGCTTCCACTGGAGCTGGTCCCTCCTACTGAGTTCGTGGACTCTCTCTTGCCCTGGACTTGTCCTTTTAAATATGTCGTCCCAGTTCTCCCTCCTGCACCCCTTTGCCCACCAGGGCTCTTACCCTGTGCTCTTGGTATCCCTGATGACTCTGCCCTTGGGGGTGGGAATGTCTCTGAGCAATAGAAGCTTGTCATTGCAGGGGTCTGCAGCGTACAAGTGCCTGTCTGTGGACTATGCTGAGAAGAAGCGGGAAGGTCCAGCACTGAGTCAGAGAGCCCTGTACCACAGCATCGTGCCAGAAACTGACCCCAGCATAGCCTCACTGGGTAATGATTCTGTGCCCCAGTAACTTAGCATCTGCATCCTTCATGTTTTCTTCGCTATGTTCTTTTTCTTTTTAAGCCTTTTATTATGAAAAAATTGTAATATAGACAGAGCAGAACAGTATAATGAACCTCTCTGTGCCCATCACCCAGCATTAACAGTTATCAACATTCTCTTGACTTCATAATGGATTGAGCTAGGGTGGTTTAATTAGAGTTTGTAAGGAATAGAGAGCCACTCAAGTTATTGTAAGTGATGAGCTGTGCTATTTACAATAAGGCTAAAGGAATGGGAACCTTTTACAAACTGACCAGCTAGACTGACTTGGGGAAGAAGGGGCTCATTGAGAATGAGGAGCATGGGAACCTCGGCAACAAAAGGAAATGAATTTTTACACTCTGTTGAATTGGGAACATAACACAGCTGTTCCCTGTGTATCTCCTTCCACTGATACCTATTGTCTTAACTCTGAATCTTTTCTCCCCTCATAGCTCCTTCTAAATTAGACTTGTTCTCTCATGCTTTCTGCTTCTTGTGGCTCCTAATGGCTTGGCTTCTCCCCACACATCATTTCAGCTTGAGCTTTTACTTTCTTCCTTTTGCCCTACTTCCAATTCAGAGTTTACTTAGAGAGGGACTCCAAGGGTGGTTCAGTTGTTAAGTATCATCGCTGGTCAGAACTTTGGCCCTGGCCACAGCAGGCTGATGACTAACCTACAGAAAAGCTGTACTTGGCTGTAGTTCCTGGCCCTGTTCCAATAACCTGTGGTGCATCATGGGATGAGCTGTGTTACTTGGTACAAAGCATGGTTGCCCCAACTTTTCCTTCAGAAAAGACTAGAATAGGGTAGCTCCTTGAGGGTGCTGTTGTCAGGACAGGTTCTGTGATTGACAAGGCTCCTCTGGAGAGTATGGATTCAGGAGTCAGTGATTCAGAAATTTGCACCTTCCACATTTAAAGTTACATGATGGTTTGTAGGCTTAGTTTAGATGTGATTGAAAGGAACCAAAATTTTGTATTTGTCTATAAGTATGATTGCTCTGTCTTCTCCCAGCTTTTTTTATTAAAAAATTCACAAGCACATAGTCAACTCTTAAGTTTCCCAGTGATTCGAGAATATCAAGATACAAAAGTCACATTTTGATTTATATTTGAAATTAATGATGCCTTTGTCAATTTTTATAACAGTGTCGCACTGGTTCTTAACAGTCCGGTGCTCCAGGGTCCAGGAGATCCCCACTTTTAGAACTTTGCCCTCCCCATCAGTACTGTACCCCAACATTTCTGAATCCATGGCTTCTCAAAATCTTGTCACTGTCCTGTCGTACCAGATTCCCTTCTTTCTTATACTTTTTCCTAATCATACTCTCATAATGTAAATCTTCCTTCAACTTTCATGTTTACCCACACTGTTTCTCATACTTGATTTGAGATATTTGCCTGCACTCTCTCACCAACATCATTGCTGAGGATCATGGGAGCATACAATGTCATGGTCACAGTGACTTCTGGAAGATCAAACACACTTTACACCCAGTCTTTTGCTTTTCAACTGCTCTGCTTACTTGACTATGCTGACTTGACATCTCTCAGTCCTGATGGCTCCTCATCCGTCACTGTCCTGATGGCTCCTCATCTCTCCACTGATCATCTTTGGCCACTTTGTCTTTCTGTCCATGAAGGAAAACTTGAGCTATTACTGATTTTCTATCATCAGCTTATTCCTTACCAATAACTTGAAGGCTTTTCAGGTAGATAGACTCCTGATGATTCTGTTTCCTCAGTAGGACAGGTAATGAGTAAAAGCTTTTTTCTTCCTTCTTTCTGCATCAGGTGAGACTCAGATGGAGAATTCAGAGTTACCTCCAAGGCAGGAGATTTCCAAAGGATCAGAGTCATCTGATGGGACATCAGGAGGCCTGTATGGGGAGGTTCCTGGGGGACCAGGAGCTAGAAATGCCTGTGAAGATGCTTTAGGGAAGCTAGAAGCACAACCCTCAGAAGAGGAAGGGAGCGGACTACAAAATAATTTCCTGGAAATAACACACGAATATAAAAACAAATCCCCAAAAGATGGATGTGATGACTATAAGGACCTTGGGGAACATCAGAATATGTCCTGCAGTCCTGCAGAACATCAGGTTCTAAAGTCACAGAAATTCTATCAATGTGATGATTGTGGTAAAGCTTTCAGTTGGAGTTCACACCTTACTGGCCATCAGAGAATCCACACTGGAGAGAAACCCTATGAGTGTAATGAGTGTGGTAAAGCCTTCAGGCAGACCTCTCAGCTTATGGTTCATCTTAGAACCCACACAGGGGAAAAACCGTATGAATGCAGCAAGTGTGGGAAGACCTATCGACACAGTTCCCATCTCATTCAACACCAGAGACTCCATAATGAGGAGAAACCATATAAATGTAATGAATGTGCAAAAGCCTTCACTCAGAGTTCCCAACTCACTGACCACCAAAGAACCCATACTGGGGAGAAACCTTATGAATGCAATGAGTGTGGGGAGACCTTCATTCAGAGTAAAAGTCTTGTCCAACATCAGGTACTTCACTCTGGTCAGAAACCCTGCAAGTGTAATGAATGTGGGAAAGCTTTCTGTTCTAATAGAAATCTTATTGACCATCAGAGAATTCACACTGGGGAGAAGCCTTATGAGTGTAACGAGTGTGGCAAGGCCTTCAGCCGGAGTAAATGTCTTATTCGACATCAAAGTCTGCACACTGGGGAAAAACCATACAAATGTAGGGAGTGTGGAAAAGCTTTCAATCAGAACTCTCAACTTGTTGACCATGAGCGAATTCACACTGGAGAAAAACCGTTTGAATGTAATGAGTGTGGTAAAGCATTCAGCCTGAGTAAATGTCTTATTAGACATCAGAGACTTCACACAGGTGAAAAGCCCTATCAGTGCAATGAATGTGGAAAATCCTTCAACCAAAACTCACATCTCATTATACACCAGAGAATTCACACTGGGGAGAAACCTTACGAATGTAACAAGTGTGGGAAGGTCTTCAGTTACAGCTCTAGTCTAATGGTACATCAGAGAACCCATACCGGGGAGAAACCCTATAAATGCAACAATTGTGGGAAAGCCTTTAGTGACAGCTCACAACTCATTGTGCACCAGAGAGTTCACACTGGGGAGAAACCCTATGAATGTATTGAGTGTGGGAAAGCCTTCAGTCAGCGTTCCACTTTTAATCATCACCAGCGAACTCACACTGGAGAGAAGCACTCAGGTCTGACTCAGTCAGTTTCTTAAGGTCTAAGTTTCTAAGATAGCATGGAATTTTGAATTAAGCTTTCTTTGTAAGAAGGATGTTTACCCTGCTCCCCTCTTGGAACCACTAATCAAAGTGGGCCATTCCCTAAATGCTGTCTGCTGGGTCATGATGGTAGAGTGGGAGGAACAGTATATCCCTTTCCACTATTGGGGAAGTATGAATACAAATTTCATGTACTTTTAGGGTTTCCCTCCCTTCCTCTTTTCTTTCTCCCTCCTTTCTTTCTCCCTCTCTCTCTTCTCTCTTTCTCCCCTTCTTTCGACTGTTTAGAAATGTATCTCATTTCTTAGTTATGCATCCCATTATCATACTGTGCTTTTCAAGGACAGAGATTGTATCTTCCTTATTCTGTTCCACCTCCTGTATTTTATGAAGTCAGTCTGCAAGACTGTCCCATTCTTTACTTTCTCTTGGCTGTGGCCCTCCTTACCCACATTTTAAACTTCTACTCTAAACTAGACCCTCATCACTATTACTCCCTCCTCAGAGAGCCTTTCCTTTTTCCCATTTGCTAATCTGTGTCCCTCAGAACTTTCCAGATCACTCTTGTCTGTAGATCCTTCCAGATCCAGCTCATCAGTCAAAGGCTTACTTCTTCAGATGCTTCTTCATTCCTCTTATTCATTGGACCTCATTGTTTGAAATTAGCTGGTGCTACAATGTGCAACTCTTGTTAAATTGCCTTGTAAATTATTCCCCACTTAATCCATATGTGCATACATCCAGACCAACTTATTATAGGTTCTTTGAGGTTAGGTATGATATCTATTTCTTTTAGCATATAGGTAATTTTCATGTACTGTTTTTTTTGTTTGTTTTAAATATATCTTTATTGATTTCAGAGAGAGGAAAAGGGGGGGAGAGAGAGAGAGAGAAACATCAATGATGAGAGAGTCATTGATCGGCTGCCTTCTGCACTCCCCAACTGGGGATGGAGCCCGAAACCTGGGCTTGTGCCCTGACCGGGAATCAAACCCTGATCGCCTAGATCCTAGGTTGACGCTCAACTGCTGAGCCACGCCTGTCTGGGCATGTACTGGTTTTTAATAAATAATTTTTTTAGAGCTTACCTCTCCAATTGTACCATCTTTAAATTGGGAACAGTCTACTTACCCCTAGAAGCTCTTAAATATGGAAGTGGTATTTTATCATGGGATATCTTCTACATGTATTCCTGGAAGTCTCACTACTGTTACTTCATTATTAGTGTCTGATATTCTATAATATATGGAGGGGGCATGTGTAAGGCAATCAATGGATGTGTCTCCCACATTGATGTTTCTCTCTCCCCTTCTGCCCTCCCTCCTATTCCAATTTTTTTTTTAATCCTCACTGATGATATTTTTTCTACTGACTTTTTGAGAGAGTGGAAGGGAGGGAAGGGGGGAGAGAGAGAGAAACATCAATGTGAGAGAGGGACATTGATTAGTTGCCTCCTGCACATGCCCTGACCTGCCCAGTGATCAAACCTACAACCCAGGTACATGCCTTTGACTGGGAATTGAACCCTTGACCCTTTGGTCCATGGGCCAGTGCACTAACCTCTGAGCAAAACTGGCCAGCACTTCTATTCCACCTTTTAGAAGAAACAATATAGAATTGTAGTTAAGGGCACAGATTTTGTGCCTTGAATTCTAGGTTCAATCCTGAATCCACCACTTTCTTAGGTGTGTGATCCTCAACAAGTCACTTGGCTTCCTTGTGTCTCAGTTCTTCCGGCTATTAAAATGAAGCTACCTCATAGGGATGTTAGGATAAAATTATTCCATAAGTGTGAGGCACTTATCACAGTGCTTGGCTCATAGTACACACTATAGCAATTATACTTAGTTTTTATTATAATGGCTGCTAAAATCTATTGGTGTAATTTTATGGGTCATGTCATTCATTCTTTTTGTAATTTTTTGATGTTTCCAAATAATTGAAATTTCTTTGCATTCTTCGTATAAAACCCACTTGTGGTGATTTTTTTTTTTTTTTAAGTACAGAACTAGATTGAATTTATTAAGTTTTTGCTTGCTTTGCAAAGTGTTTTGGAAGAGTTTGTATAATATGGGACTTATTCTTTGAAGGGTAAAAATAACTGGGTCTGATCCATTTGCAGGGAAGAGGGACAAGTCTTTAGCAACATTTTGATTTCTTTAGGGGTTACACTGTTTAGATTTGTACCTCTTTATTAATTTTGGTAATATATACCTGGAAATCATCATTTTACTAGACTGTCAAACAGTGACATAAAGTTTTACCTAGTAGTCTATAAATTATTTTACTCTCTTAGAGCTCCGTTTTCATATATAATGTTTTACATTTGAATTTCTTCTCAGTTTTTCTGTCCTGATGGCCAAGTTTAATTTATTTTTTTCCTCTTTTGAACTCGTTTTTCTTTTTCTTTCCCAGTTTTTCTTGAATATATTTTTTCATATCTATTTTTGTTTGCCTCAAGTTGCAGAGGCTTTTAATTCATCTCATATGTCACTTGTTTTTTTCACATTAGTGAATCTGAGGGCTTTCCAGGCCTGATATTTGCCCCCAAGGAGGGACAGTGTGCTTTCCTTTTATTCCTTTCGAGGCCTCTTGGGTGCTATTAAAATGGTGTGTTTACCTCTGAAGCTGGAAGGTGAGTTGTAAGTTTACGTTATTGATATGTACTTCCGCAGTGAGAAGTGAAGGAACAGTTTTGCTATCTGGTTGAAAACCTTCTACCCAGAGCCAGCTCTTTGTATCTCTCTCTCTTTTTGGCTCAGCCCTCATGCTATGGATCCAATGGGACCTCCTCCCATGTTCTCTATCAATTCCAAATAGCGTTGTTGTAAAAGAACTGAAAGTGGAAAAACCTTCAGTGACAACTCAGACTTTATTTTACCTCAGCGACTCCAAATTGGGAAAAGAACTTGTTAAGTGTAAGAAAACATTCAGCTATAGAAAATATCATCCACCACAGCACTGGAACGATGACGTAGTTGTGGTTACTCTTTAAAAGCCTTCCAAAAGAGAACCATCTGAGGAACTCCAGACAATTCACCTCTTCTTGGGGGCTTCCTAAGACTGCCATTGTGAGTGGGTATGTGGAATACCTGAATTGTAGAATCAGGAACAGCTAGACAGTTGCCCCATATCTGCAAGGACAGGAGATGTTGTACACGTGGTCAGGTGATTTGTCCAGAGCAATATGCTTTTTTAGGGGCAGAGGCACAGGTGTACTTCATCTGACCTCCCCCAAACAAGAAGTTATAGTGCCCTGGCCTGTAATTGACACCAAGGGCAAAGCCATCTCCTGACATGTCACCTGCTCTGCATCTCCAGGTTCTGGAACTCCCTTTTTCCTCCTTTTGGGATAATCATGAGTTGGTCACCATCAAATACGTTGTTCTTCAAGGAAGTTGGGTGTATTAGTCTGCTAGGGCTACCATAACAAATACCACAGAATTAGTGGCTTAACAGAAATTTATTTTCTCATGTTTCTGGAGCTAAAAGTTCTAGATCAGTGTGTCATTGGGGTTGATTTCTTATGAGACCTCTCTCTTTGGCTTGTAAATGGGCATCTCCTATCTTCACATGGTCTTTCCTCTGTGTTAGCCTGTGTTGCTAATTTCCTCTTCTTATGAAGACACCAGTTATGTTAGATTAGGACCCAACCCTAATGACCTCATTTAATCTTTATTACCTCTTTAAAGGCTCTATCTCTAAATATACTCACATTGTGAGGTCCTTGGATTAGGATTTCAACATATGAATTTGTAGGGGTCACAGTTCAGCACATAATATCAGGGTTTTTAAACTCAAGGACAAGTCTGGATTGACCTGCCAAAGAGGGGAGTTGGCCATATTCTTAGGTGCCCACATTTTCCCCTGGTTGAACATCATAGCCACTGCCTTCTGGGTTGTATTCCAAATGGTTCTTCAGTTTGTATTTTACTTCCAATTGAAACCTGGACTTTTCAGCACTATGGCAGGCACATGAATGGTGTGAATTCCTCAATTTCTGTTGTTTTTAAAATACTTTTATTGAAATATAATTACATACCATACAATTCATCCATGTAAAATGTATAGTTCAGTGGTTCTGATATATTCACATATGTGTGCAACCATCACCACAGTCAATTTTAGAATATTTTCATCACCTCAAAAAGAGATCCCCTACCTTTAATTGCCCCTCTCCTTTGTCCAATCCCCTCCCAGCACTAATGTTTTGTTTTTACTTTTTATTATGGAGAATTTTAAATATACACAAAATACAAAAAAGAAAAATTAAGGGTTGCATGTAATGCAGTAAGTTCTAACACAACCTGTGAAGCAGAGATTTAAATTGAATCAAATCGAGCCTCTAGTTCTCCCTTCCAGTTTACAGGAAATGTAGGTGATATGATGAGGAAACCATCAGACAGATTCAGTGATTTGTGATTTATATAATGTGAGATGTATAAGACATATTCTTCAAAAAGGCAGTGAAATGAAAAAAGTTGCTCAATTATTCTAGATTAAAAGACATTCTTTAGAGACAAAACTGCCAAATGCAGTGAGTGAACTTTGATTTTTAAAGTTGTAGAAGATATTTGGGAAATAATGGAGACATTGAAATATGAAATAGATAGGATATTTAATAGGTCCATTTGATATAGAATTATTTTTAAATTTGTAAGCGTGACAGGTATTTTGGTTATGTAGAAGGATTCTTTATTCTTTGGAGGTGTATGCCACAATATTTAGGGTTGAAGGGTCTCTTCAACATATTCTCAAATGGCTCGACAGTAACAACAAATAAAAGGTGTATGTGTATGTGGAGAGAAAAAAACTAATGTGGCAAAATGTTAACAAATGTTGACTCTAGCTAGAGTATATATGTATGTTTGAAAGTTTTAAAATAAAGTTTGAAAAGGGTAAAGGGGATTATGAATGGCTCGTTATAACTCAATACCTTTGGGAGAAATGCATTCTGCAGTTTGAGG